CTGAGGAAGTATTTATGACATACATTTTTGAAAGACCCTGTATAATATCATATGCATATCTCCACAGCCATAAAATTTGCCAACGCGAGACAATAGCAAAGCAACCAACCGTATTCACCGGAGTATTTTCCTTTAAATAAACTTTAAGCGCTGGCAGTTAGACTAAATTAGTGCAAGTGCAAGACACGCATTATTGCGATCGAAGTAGAGATTTAGTTTAAAACAAACAATGGGAGAAAAGCGAACGTATACATATAATTCCGTCGCATGTAAAATATTGGTTTAGCGCTGGATCTTTAGTTGTGTGAATATTCATGGAATCGCGTAATTTCGTTGAATTATCAAAATGCGAACTTGGATACAAAGGAGCAATTCGTATAAGACTGTTTTGTTATGTTGGGAAAGGGGTGTTAATACACTCTGACTTAAAAGATCTATTGTGTTCCTTTCTGTCGCTAATGCAGTAATGAAATGTTCCAATCCTATCTTCGAACAAACTTGCTTCTAGCAAATATGACTATGTCGTCGGCGTAAAATTGACAGGGTATACTGAAGTCAGTCAATCTGCATAGAAGTTCGTCTACAGTTAGGCTCTACATTAGTGGGAATAGAACTCCTCCACGACTCAGTGGTTCGTCCCCTTCGCCAGGGGAGGTAGGGAGTGATGAAAGGAGGATGAAGAAGATGGAGTGGTGATGTTCGTCTTTGTTCCTCTTTGTTCTCCCACACAGTATATAGAAAAGATAGGGTTAACATTTTAACAGGTAAACAACGCTGAGGAGGTGTCCTCATTGGTATAAATAAAAAATGTATATCTTCACCAATATCAACTCACCATTAGAGAAAATCTTTGTAAAACTTAACCACAATCATTATTAATTCAACTTATTTATATTCCACTGGGTTCAAATGCTAAAGTTTACAGGCAATACCTAGGTTTATTTGATAGTTTAGATCCACTAATCACTCAAACCACACACTTGGTACTGATTGGTGATATAAATGGCGATTTTAATGGCTATTTACAATTTACAGTCTTACAACAATTGTTTTAATGAGAATCAGAAAACTCTAGATTTGGTGCTTGGGAATATGAATTTGAATATAGAGGAGGAATTAGAACCATTAGTTTCCATAGACAAAAAATATCCCTCTCTGATAATTAAAACAGAAGTTTAAAGAAAGTAATAGACTCACATATACAAACAATAATCTTGAAAACAGATATAATTTTAAAAACACTGACTTCAGACTACTATGCGAAGTATTATGGGATTTCGATTGGTCAAAAATTGGACACTTAGAGGTTCTTGGAAAACCTCAACAATGAAACTTCGCAGAAAGCGTCTTCTTCTACTGGAGTTGGTACTGATTCGTGACAGATAAACTCTTGGTTACTAATTTCTTGACATTCTGAGTAAAATTACATGAAATTTTGCTCATTTAGGATGAGGAATTTCGAATTTGGAATAATCATTTGGAAAAGGTTGCTTTTAGAAGTAGGTAAAGGGAAAAGTTCCCCGACCGGGGTATGGTTGCATTGATAATGTGTATACGTTAACCTCTGTAATTCAACAGCATATTAGATTAAAAAAGCGGAAAATATTTGCAATATTTGTTGATTTCAAACGTGCTTTTGATTCCGTCAATCACTCCTTGCTCTGGCTCAAGCTGTTTAATTTGGGTGTTAGTTCTAGAATTATAACTGTAATACCCAAAATGTATGAGAATGCAGAATTCCGTATTAAATGTTCTGATGGATTTTCTAAATCCTTTGAGCTCACATCTGGTGTTTTACAAGGCGAATCACTTAGTCCTCTACTTTTTGCTCTATTTATTTCAGACATCGATAATTTCTTTGCAACTAGAGGCGCTAAAGGTGTTAATATTGACAACAAAAATGATGTTACTCTCTTGTTATACGCTGACGACCTTATTATACTCGCAGATTCAGAGGTGGATGTTGGCAGAAAATTAAAATTATTGGAAGAATACACCTTAATAAACCATTTAACAATTAACATTGACAAAACAAAAATTATGCAATTTTCTAAAGGTGGTTTTAGATCTTTGGATTCTCATTTCCACCTAGAGAATAAAACTATAGCATTAACCAATAATTATATTTACTTAGGTGTTACCCTAACATCCTCTTCTTTATTTTGTGAGATGGCAAATGTAACTACTAACAAATCTAAGCAAGCAAGTGGTGCAATCATTCCAATAATGGCAAAAGCCAAAGTAGATACTTGGTACCCTAGAATTAAATTATTTGAGTCCTTGGTCATAAGCACAATGACAAACTGCATTCCTGTTTGGGGTTTAAGATATAGTGACATACTTGAGCGTGTACAGACCAACTTTTTAAAAAGAAATTTATTCGTGCCAATCAATATACCAATGTACCTAAACTATTAAGAAGTCCACGTTTTTCTCTATGGGTTTATTCAAGTGATGCGTTTAATTGATTAATTTGTGTAATAATTTTATTTTCTTATATGGTTACTATTTGAAATGTAAAAAGAATCTGATTTAGTCTGGTTTATAAGTTTATTTGTGGTTATCGTTTGTAGGTCAGAAAATTTATCTTGTAGTGACTTAAATTCGTCTATTACTTTGTAAATTTCGAAAATTCTTACAAATGATCAATACTCAATTATGTTTTGAGTCTATCCTAATTTAAGAATTAAAAATCCAGGATTGTCGGTGATATTATGGAATGTTGGTTGAGTCAGTTTGCAGTTTGCGAAGTTGATGATTGCGAGGAACCTGTAACAAAAGGTTTTTTAAGTTCTTTACTGTGAATTATTTCTGGTTTATTAATTTGTTGATTAGTAATTTCTGCTTTATTTTTATCTCGTAATTTCATTAATGTATAAGGACCTAAAAATTTATAGTCTTTTTTATTTCTTAAAGTTGAAGGTGGTAGCCATGTGTGAGTTATAAGTTCAAAAAGGTAAATCAAACGAGGGTGGTCCTTAGGATCTCACAAGAGTATTTTATTACGACCGGTTTCGAGGATCAGATCCTCATCATCAGGTAAGGTCTAAAAATAGAGAGGAAAAACGAATGAGCTCATAACTAATAAAGTGGGTTTAAACATTTTAATATGAAAGTTGTCAAATATCAAGAACTAACCCGTAATTACTCGTCTATTTAAGACTAAGCTAAGAGAATTATCCCAGGGTCGGTGTAAAAACAAGTATGCGAGTATTTTTTAAAATACATAAAAAATATAAAAAACAATAGTTGCAACAAAAAGTTGATGTCAAAACACATAAACAAAAGTAGGTCTAAAACTATTAATTAAAATTATTAAAATATTTCACGAACGGACGAACAATTAAGACAAACAAATTTAAAAACTTTTTAAACCCTACAAGCACTAAAATGGGTTCTTGGACAAGTGTTTATAATTCTACAGGAATTAAATTTTATTTAGATTAAATATACTGATTAACGCCCTCAAGATATAAATAGACGAATTAACCATTCTAATATTTAAGATAACAGTTTAGAGGTTGTCAAATTTAAATATTTTGACCATCGGCTAATAGATGGCGTTGGCGAAAAAAATAAATGTTTCTTAATAATAATATAGGTTTATAAAATTATTTCTATATTGAGAATTTTGTTTGTAAACAGTTAATTCACTACGGGAGCCTATTAAACTCAAAGCTCTGCCGGTTAATTTGCCAATAATAGCTCTTAAAATATAAGCATTAAATGTAGCTGCATTATTTTGTCGATCAGGAAAAAATACAGTTAATATACGGGGGTGTCCGTCAAAATTTGGAATAGTGTCTACATATAATTGCAAAAATGGATAATTAGTTTTATCTGCCATATTTGAATCGGAACTTTCTGAATCTGATTCTTTTGTAGGAGGTAAATTATCTAAATTTAATGGGAATCTGTTCTAAGAGTACTATTAAAAATATAATAAATTCTCTCAATGATTTATTTTATCCCAAAAATTAAAATTAAAATCACTAATATATTCAACTAAAGAAATAAAATGTTTAAAATAAAAGGAGAGCAAAATTTCTTACGCAATTCCTAGGATTATTTTCGTCATATCAACGGGGTCAAGCGATGCTGTCTGTTCTCCCTAATTTTCTTAAAACTAGATGGATTTGGCGATGTGGTCCTTGTCCAGGTTTTTAAACTAGCTGGATATGGCGATGTGGTTCTCGTCCAGGTTCTCCTTTCGGCAATGTTGGTCCTATGCTTGGCTGTATACTTTTTGTTCAGTTAATTTTACCAATTTTCGCGAATTCGATTTGCCGTTAAACTATTAAAATAGACCGATTTGACACGATTTTTGTTGTCACACCGTTAGGCAATCCTACTGACTGCGCCACATTTAGGTTCACTAATAAAAATTGGTTTTTAAAAAAATTACAAAAAGCGGAACTTTATTTTATGACTTTACTGTATTCAAGTAAAAATGGTAAAGCTAGAAAATGCCGGCAACAAACTAGTTGCAAGTGCAAGGAGCATTTCATTTGACACACTCATTGATTTTCATAACACTCATTGTATTACCCCGACCAGCTTTTTTTTAATATTACAGGTACCATTTGGAAACGCAAGACCTAGGCAGGCGATGAGCGACCGCCTAGGAGGGAAAGAAATGTGTTTCTTACGTCTAAATCACATGTAAATAATAAATGAAGAACATTTGGGACAGCGAGACCGATGCAAGAGAGGCGCCAGCACTTTTAACACGGCAATGTTTGCAGCCTCTTATCTGTCTCGGTACCTTTAAAATTTGATATTTAAAATTTAAGTAAGCCAAATGATGCATCGAGCGCTTTCGGAATTAGCATACTTCCTTTTGCGAGTCCTGCTCTGACCCACTCACTCCTGCTGCTCGAACATCCTTGTAGGTTGCGCGGACGCCCAGACCAGAAACGCTCGAGCCGGGAAAACCGGTCGGCGTCGACGGCTAGTGGGGGATTCGTCCTGTTCCCGTTCGCAGCAACGATCGCTAGTATTCCGCGCGCTCCGCTGATCTCGATCGCCAAGCGATTTCGATAGCGATCGTCGTGCACACACATACATAACGCACACTTGATTTTCAAAGCGACGAAACCGGTGATCGATATGTGCGATTAATCGCGCGGTTATGAACTATTGTCATTCGATGTTTTTTGTTTTGGCACGGCAGACTAGGACGAAGAACAATTCGAGTGCAGTTTTGTGGGTTTGGAGTGGACATGAGCGCATCGTATGATTGCAGCGTTTTCAAGTTTGTTTTCCGCTTAGGTTCTTATATGCTGTTCACCGAATGGAATAAAAATAAAATATGAAATAATGGTAAGTTTCTGGTCTAGGTAGTAGATTTTAGAGAAAATGCGCTTTCTCTTGATTCTAAAAATGAAAAACAAACTTTGCCGAAATGTTGAGAAAAGTCGGAAAAACTGCAGCACATGAGACGTGAAATTTCGCGAACTGGAAATTTGGTTTTTATAGCAATAATCTACAGGTCAATAGAAAACAAGAATAAAGTAAAAAAAACGAGGAAAATGAAAACAAGAAACTGTTAAATAAAAAGTATCACTTGTAGGACCAAATCATTACATGGGTGATTCTCGTGTAACTACGATATTTACAACTAAATTTTTTTTTTTTTTTAATTAAAATTGTTTATTTATGCACATAAATAAGCCTGTAAAGTAGTTCTACTACCTCTACAACACAACGAAAACTATGACAAAATTTCAAAATTTTAAATGCCACGGTACTGACATTATTTCCATAGTACTGACATATAAATGACTATTTTCTTACCTCTCGAAAGATTGGTATAAAATTACAATAAAATTCAATGCAGTATGCGTTAGATTGTAGTTATAAGAGGTACATTTTTAAAAATTTTAATGAATTTAAAGTTTTCGTTTTTAATCTGAGTTTGCTCTTACAAAAACCAGAATTATAAATGACATTTTCTCAATTAATTTACCGAAATATCACACAGTATATAACTATGGTTCACTAATTCAAAATGACGGAATCGTTATTTTCTTCAAAAAAGAGCTCTATCATCCCCACAAAATAACTAACTTAAATAAAACATACAAGATATCACTTTAATTATAGCACATAATACAATTTTTGTAAATGCTTTTTATCGTTCACCTGGTACTATGGTAGCGCTATTTCTTGATGAACTGGAACTAATACTTAAAAAAAAACTTAGAAACCACACTCCAACCTCTAGTATATCAAATAAATAAAGACAGATGTTTTTCAGTTATATTTAGAAATGAAAAAATGCACTTTGGGTTTAGAGATGGAAAATCTACAAACAATGCTATATTAGAATTAACATCATACATCTATGACAAAATAGATAAAAAATGCCTACAATTGGGATATTCTTGGATTTATCAAAAGCATTTGATACAGTCGGTCATCAACATCTTTTAGATAGTCTAGAAGGTGTTGGAGTCAGAGACATTCCATACAAACTCTTAGAAAGCTACTTACTGGGAAGAAAACAAAAAGTTTAAATAAAAAATAAGTTATGTTATAATAATTAATATGTTATGTTATGTTGATAATGGGGTGTTAATACACTGCGACCTAAAAGATCTATTGTGCCCCCTTCTGTCGCCACTGCACTAAGGAAATGTCTCAATGCCTATAGCGACCCTTCCAATCCTATTTTCTCAAGGAAGTGTAGGATTTGAAGTGGCTTCAAGTTAGGTAAGTCTCCCTCTTCTATTTGATATCCTCCTAGATATAGTGCCCTTGGATTCTGGAGTGCTACACATTCAGTTAGGATGTGAATGGAGGTTTCGTCCTCCTCCTCACAGAATCTGCACTCACTATCCTCTACTACTCTCAGTTTACTTAGGTGTCCTTTTAGTCGGCAGTGCCCGGTAAGGATCCCTGTTACAATACGTAGCCTGTTCTTGCTCAGGCAGATGCAGGCTTCCGATCTTTTTTGGTTATATTCACCCAGAAGTATCTTGGCCTGTCTCAGCCCCAAGAGATTGTTCCAATTATCGGTTCTTCTACTACCCAATTCTTTTTTAATCTCTTCTAATATTATGTTACTGCTGATACCGCAGAACGGCTCAGGTCCTACAAAGGGTGTTTGAGTCCCTTTCCTTACAAGACTATCTGCAATCTCGTTACCCTGTACCCCGTTATGTCCCGGGACCCAAGTGAGAGTAACTCTATTTTTCTCGCCTAGCTCATTCAATTGTTCTAGGCATCTCCATACCATTTTTGAGCTGATTACGTAAGAAGTCAGCGCTTTGATGGCTGCTTGACTATCGGACATGATGATAATCTCTTGTCTATGATAGTTTCTCTCGATGTTAAACTGGATACACTTCTCGATGGCGTGAATTTCCGCCTGGAAGATGCTTGGGTATTTTCCCAAGCTTTCGGAGTGCTTGGTTCTCGGCCCATACACTCCTATTCCAGTTCCTTCTATGGTTTTGGAACCGTCCGTGTACCACTGAATAGCACGTCTTTCGGTTGCAAGCGCGATGGATTCTTGGCTTCATTCTTTCTTGCAGCCCAGCTCTGTGGTTTTGAAGTTTTTCACAAAACTGTACTTCTTTTGCATTTCATCCTGGGGCATGTCCCAGGTATCTTTAGTCCTGAAGCAAGTAGACTTTCGTCTGATTACTCCGTTCCTGATCATTCTATATCGTGTCCTTTTTGCCACATTCTCTATCATCAAATGTAGAGGGGTGAGGTTTAAGATCACCTCCATTGCGGCCGTAGGACAGGTTCTCATTGCACCAGTAATGCAAACACAGGCTAGTCTTTATACTTTTGAGATATTAGCTCTCGTAGTAACTAAACTAGTTCTGTTACTCCAGGCTATAGCCCCGTAAGTGATGATTGGTCTCACTATTGCAGTATACATCCATCGCAGTATGTTTGGGTTACATCCCCATCGTTTACCCGCCATGTTTCTGCATACCATTAGGGCTTTTGTGGCCTTATTTACTACTTCCTTCTCATGTGTGTTCCAGAGAAGTTTGTTGTCCAGGGTTAGGCCTAGATATTTGACTTCATTTTTCCATTCTATATCTATCCCGTCTAATTTAACGGTTTTGAGATTAAGTTTTCTTTTCCTTGAAAAGGCTACTAGTGTTGTTTTTGTAGGGTTTATACTAAGTCCCACTTCACGGCACCATCTTTTGGTATGTTCTAGTCCTCTTTGGACTATATCACACAGGATATTACTAAACTTGCCACTAGCAAATATGACTATGTCGTCGGCATAACCTTGACAGGGTATGCCGAGGTCAGTCAATTTGCATAGAAGTTCGTCTACGATTAGGCTCCACACTAGTGGGGATAGAACTCCTCCTTGTGGACATCCTCTGGTTGTGCAGATGGAGATGGTGTCCTGCCCTATCTGTGTCTCTGCAGTTCTCGAAGATAACAGCTGAGCCATCCATCTGGATGTGATGTTAATATGTTACATGCGGAGTACCTCAAAGGACTGAACTAGGTCCATTACGGTTTAATATATTATCTCAGCACTTTATTCGAAGTTAAGGAAGAAGGGGGAAAAATTCTTACAGAAAGTTAAGAAATGGTTTAATAATCGCTTACTCTCTATCAATTATTCAAAAACCTTATACTTACCATTTACCAGCTATACATAATATATTCCTAATTTCAATTCACTAGATATAGATCAAAATACTAAAATTTGTGACGTAAAAGAAATCAAATATTTAGGAATAATGCTAGATAGGCATCTTAAATGAGATGTACAGTACATGTTTCATTTTTAATTAAAAAATTACGATGAATTCTAGGAAGATTTAAGGTATAACAAAACGATAAAAATACAAATATGGCGTAGTCTTGGAGCTTCTGCCAGGCTGAGTGAAAATTGTTCTTGAAACAGATAAATTTATGGCTTCAGAAATCCATCGCGCATGATGTGTTGGCCCAGGAGATTTAAAAGTCATATTTTCAGTTGGTTGATTTCCCAAAAACACTGATGATAATTCTAATAGTTTACGTTGGTCATCTCGTGGTTGATTTTCCTGCAAATAGAGAAGTTTTTTTAATATCCAATTCAATTATGTTATTCTCCTCTATGAATTTTTAATTGATGTCATCTTTTTTGTCATGGATAATCGAGTACTAAATGTTAGTCAATCACAGCCAACTTAGCTAGATTGTTAGAAATCTTTAATTACAATTTTTGTAACTTTTATTATTTAATTTAATATTATTGTAACGAAAATCTAATTTATTTTTAGTTTATTTATTTAAAACACACTATTTACAATTTATTTCAGACGTACTATTTAATTTATGTAATACTTAGACACTAACTAACATTTCTAATTTATTTATTACACTTTAACTTTTCATTCCAATAGTCTGATCTAAACTAAACTGTGCGCCGATGAGCCGGCTATTTATATTAAGTCCAACTCTGCTACTAGAAGACACCAGAGGCTCTCGAAAATTGCATCTCTGACTCAAAGGCACTCACTGCCCGTTCTAGCCGTTTCTAGTGCGTCAGCGGCATTCCTGAACGTTCCGTCGCCTCGAGCACGAGTCGGTTGCCATCTGAAGGTCGCGCTTGCTTAGACAGAGTCGGATTTAGGAATTTCATGACATTATATTCACTAATAGGTATTTGCTGAATTCAAATAAGTTTTGATGTATGATTAAACCAAAAAAATAAAGAAACTAATTTTTAATATTTTTGAATATTGATATTGTTCTTGATTTTTAAAGTGCGTAAATAAAAACTCTTTACGCGCTAGTGCGTGAAGTTAAGTTTTACAAACTCTGTAGCGTACAAAATGATAGTACTTTAAGAATGGTTGTAGAAAAAAAGATTTAAAGCATTGGGAGGATCTTTTAGGTTGTTGGAACCAAACCAAACTCTGGCAATATTTAAATGTGAAAATTATTGGACTAAATACATTTTATTTTAATATTCTTCTCTTAGTGAAACCGATTATTTGATTTGCCCGAACGAACACTGTATTTCGTTCGACATAGTTACGCAATTTTAGTATACAAGAGTCTGCAACCCAAATTAACTTGGCAACTTTGGGAACTTTGAAAACTTTCTCTTTTAGATCTAACTTAATGGTGTATTTGGAAAGTGATCATTAAGCTGTATTCATTTTGTAAGTCCTAACTTTGGGCGTGGCGTATACCGTGTGTATATTGAAAAAAGAATAAGAAGTTCAATAAAAATTAATTTATAATATACAGGGTCGGAATAAAGTTAAACAACGTTGATGTGTAAAGAAAACCTCTTAAAGTTGTGATAAATAACTAAACACTGACGTTTATATCGACTTTAT